AAGGCTGTAACATGACAAAATGTATGAAAAGTGAAGCACTGTGAATACTTTCCGGATGCACTGTATGTTCCAGTTTTGGCACTTATTTGTTCAAGTGCTGCCGTAATGACACATTCTTGTAATGAAACAGCCAGTAAAATGTGTTTCTGACTGTGCTTATCTTCCAGAAAATGATTATTTGCTGATAGTGATCCAGGGTCCCAATGAATAGCCCAGGATGGAATTGTTACTGACAGACTGATCATTGCACAAACCATGTCCCTGTCAAAATGTCCCTGTCAAACTTTGTTTAACTTGAGCAGACATGTTTTTCTTCCCCCCCCCTCACTTTTACTACTTTTTCTACTTTGCAATATGTTGCCTGACTTTATACATTTTCCTTCTAGCCATGCTAATCAATTGTAAAAATAAATTAAACAGTTATAACAATTACTGCGTTTTTTGTGTTTAGTTTGTTACAGACACATTGTCAGGAGGTGTGTTGTTCTGAAATGAGTGTGCTTGACTCATGCAGTGGGCCTCTTGATATCTACTGCCAGGGTCCTACATACCTGGGCCCTTATATATTTACTGCCAGGGTCCTACATACGTGGCCCTTATATATTTACAGCCAGGGTCCTGCATACTTGGCTCTTAGATATTTACAGCCAGGGTCCTACATACTTGGGCCTCTTGATATCTACTGCCAGGGTCCTACATACCTGGGCCCTTAGATATTTACAGCCAGGGTCCTACATACTTGGCCCTTATATATTTACAGACAGGGTCCTACATACTTGGCCCTTAGATATTTACTGCCAGGGTCCTACATACTTGGCCCTTATATATTTCCTGCCAGGGTCCTACATACTTGGGCCCTTAGATATTTCCTGCCAGGGTCCTACATACTTAGGCCCTTAGATATTTCCTGCCAGGGTCCTACATACTTGGGCCCTTAGATATTTACTGCCAGGGTCCTACATACTTGGGCCCTTAGATATTTCCTGCCAGGGTCCTACATACTTAGGCCCTTAGATATTTCCTGCCAGGGTCCTACATACTTGGGCCCTTAGATATTTCCTGCCAGGGTCCTACATACTTGGGCCCTTGTATATTTACTGCCAGGGTCCTACATACTTGGGCCCTTATATATTTACTGCCAGGGTCCTACATACTTGGCCCTTAGATATTCACTGCCAGGGTCCTACATACTTGGGCCCTTAGATATTTCCTGCCAGGGTCCTACATACTTGGGCCCTTAGATATTTCCTGCCAGGGTCCTACATACTTGGGCCCTTAGATATTTACTGCCAGGGTCCTACATACTTGGGCCCTTAGATATTTCCTGCCAGGGTCCTACATACTTGGGCCCTTAGATATTTCCTGCCAGGGTCCTACATACTTGGGCCCTTATATATTTCCTGCCAGGGTCCTACATACTTGGGCCCTTAGATATTTACTGCCAGGGTCCTACATACTTGGGCCCTTAGATATTTCCTGCCAGGGTCCTACATACTTAGGCCCTTAGATATTTCCTGCCAGGGTCCTACATACTTGGGCCCTTAGATATTTCCTGCCAGGGTCCTACATACTTGGGCCCTTGTATATTTACTGCCAGGGTCCTACATACTTGGGCCCTTATATATTTACTGCCAGGGTCCTACATACTTGGCCCTTAGATATTTACTGCCAGGGTCCTACATACTTGGGCCCTTAGATATTTCCTGCCAGGGTCCTACATACTTGGGCCCTTAGATATTTCCTGCCAGGGTCCTACATACTTGGGCCCTTAGATATTTACTGCCAGGGTCCTACATACTTGGGCCCTTAGATATTTCCTGCCAGGGTCCTACATACTTGGGCCCTTAGATATTTCCTGCCAGGGTCCTACATACTTGGGCCCTTAGATATTTACTGCCAGGGTCCTACATACTTGGGCCCTTATATATTTCCTGCCAGGGTCCTACATACTTGGGCCCTTAGATATTTCCTGCCAGGGTCCTACATACTTGGGCCCTTATATATTTACTGCCAGGGTCCTACATACTTGGCCCTTAGATATTTACTGCCAGGGTCCTACATACTTGGCCCTTAGATATTTACTGCCAGGGTCCTACATACTTGGCCCTTAGATATTTACTGCCAGGGTCCTACATACTTGGCCCTTAGATATTTCCTGCCAGGGTCCTACATACTTGGGCCCTTATATATTTCCTGCCAGGGTCCTACATACTTGGGCCCTTAGATATTTACTGCCAGGGTCCTACATACTTGGGCCCTTAGATATTTCCTGCCAGGGTCCTACATACTTGGGCCCTTAGATATTTCCTGCCAGGGTCCTACATACTTGGGCCCTTATATATTTACTGCCAGGGTCCTACATACTTGGCCCTTAGATATTTACTGCCAGGGTCCTACATACTTGGCCCTTAGATATTTACTGCCAGGGTCCTACATACTTGGCCCTTAGATATTTACTGCCAGGGTCCTACATACTTGGCCCTTAGATATTTACTGCCAGGGTCCTACATACTTGGGCCCTTATATATTTACTGCCAGGGTCCTACATACTTGGGCCCTTATATATTTACTGCCAGGGTCCTACATACTTGGACCCTTATATATTTACAGCCAGGGTCCTACATACTTGGCCCTTATATATTTACTGCCAGGGTCCTACATACCTGGCCATTAGATATTTACATTTAGGCTCCCATAACCAAGTTTTTCGTCTGTTTTTGTTTTGACTTCAACACAGCTCATTGTTTTTTGTGATGTTACGTCCATCCCAGTAAAGAAAATATAGTGTATATGTAAGAAGGGTTGGTTGGGATTTAATCTAATTAGTTACAGGTAGATGTGTGTGCAAAAGAACACCATGACTGAACGTTTGTGGTATCCAGCAAATACCATACACTTTCATTTGTTAAGCTTTTGAGTTATTTTGGACTAGCTCTGTTCAGCAATTTCCTTTTGGTATTCATACATTTATAAATAAGACAGTGGAGAAGTGTAAAAAAAGTATCCCTTTCCATGGGTGGCTTTTGTATGGTGGCAATTTTTTAAGCTTGCTTTTGTAAAACACATCTGGTATGAAATGATGACTGAAATAAGATACCGGGTTAGGCCAGCAGAGGGCATACCTAGGCTGTCTGTGCTTTTTCGTTGCTGTGATTTTTACATTGTTGTTTCAATTGTGCCTGTAGGTGGGAGTAATTATGTAAAGCACAACAAAGGAAATGTTTGTTCTGATCATAACGAGTACATATTCACTACTGCTGGAGTGTTTTGCCTCCCCTCAGGTTACATGTCGTAAAATGCAACTGGAAAAACAAACTCTGCATATCATTAGCTCACTTTAAATTGAGAAGAACACAAAATGCTATTCCCACATTACATTTTGTCATAGCATAGCTTTACTGCTTCCTAAGTCCTAACAAATGTTGATGTTTGGTTTTAGTCCTCATTGCAACCAACCATGTTTTATAGTACTTAACTTATTTAATTGGTATTATTGGGACATTTTAGTAATACTGGAAATTAGACTATAATATATTTTATTAATTCTGCAAAAAAGCAATTAATGTCCTGGACATATCTACTATGAAAATATAGCATACCGCACTGATCCTCTCTGATTCCTGAAAATGATATCATGGATTTTTAAGCTTCTGATAATTGACATTATTTCAGTCAATTTGTGGTGTTCCTGTGAATGTGTTTCACGGCTTATCTGCAAACTCACTGTCTGTTTTCTACATGAAAAATTCAAAAGAAATTAGGAAAGAACTAACAAAAATAATTGTAGTTCTCCCGAAGTCTGGTACATCGTTGGCTGCAATTTCCAAACACCTGAAGGTACCATGTTCATCTGTACAAACAATAGTACACATGTATAAACACCATGAAATGAGATGAGAAGTGTGCAAATCGATAAACAGCAAAGGACCTTGAGCAAAACACCTATATCCAAAGTAAAACAAGTCCTATATTGACCTGAAAGACCACTCATCAATGAAAAAGCCACTGCTCTGAAACCGATATAAATAGCCAAACTAAGGTTTGCAACAGCACACGAAGACAAAGATCATACTTGTTGGATATATTTTCTCTGGTCTGATAAAACAAAATATTACTGTTTGGCCATAATGACCACAGTTATTTTTGGAGGTAAAAGGGAGGACCCCTAGAATATTTCCAAAATTGTGACAAAATGGCTTAAGGCCAAAAAAGTCAAGGAATAGAGGTGGCCATCATAAAGCCCTGACCTCAACCCTGATAATGATTTGTTAGCAGATCTGAATAAACGTGTGCAAGCAAGGATGCCTACAAACCTGACTTAGTTACACCAGTTGTGTCAGGAAGAATGAGCCAAAATTGCCTCAACTTATTGTGGGATGCTTGTGGATGGCTAGAGAGAAGGAAGGAAGAGCAGAGGGACAATAATATGGACAAAGAGAGAGAAGGAAGAGAGAGCAGAGGGACAATAATATGGAGAGAGAGAGAGAAGAAAGGGAGAGCAGAGGGACAATAATATGGACAAAGAGAGAGAAGGAAGAGAGAGCAGAGGGACAATAATATGGAGAGAGAGAGAGAAGGAAGAGAGAGCAGAGGGACAATAATATGGAGAGAGAGAGAGAAGAAAGGGAGAGCAGAGGGACAATAATATGGACAAAGAGAGAGAAGAAAGGGAGAGCAGAGGGACAATAATATGGACAAAGAGAGAGAAGAAAGGGAGAGCAGAGGGACAATAATATGGACAAAGAGAGAGAAGAAAGGGAGAGCAGAGGGACAATAATATGGACAAAGAGTGAGAAGAAAGGGAGAGCAGAGGGACAATAATATTGAGAGAGAGAACAATAAAAGATTGTGAAAAAGCAAGGTCTCCCTTGAGGTTGTACAGCTCTAAACTGAACAGCCAGGTCTGCTGGCTCACAGACAGATGGGAAATACATTTTTTATTTTCATATTTAACCTTTATTTATGCAGGAAGGCCGATTGAAAACAAATTCTCATTTGCAACGGCGACCTGGGTAGAACCCTGGACATCATACATACAAAGCATGTACTCTACCACTGAGCTACTGAGCTCTCCATTAATTAACATCTACTATCAACTGATCTCTTATGACAGTTCCACACATAGACAAAGACACACACACAGTCCCACAGTCACAGCCACACAGTCACACAATCACAACCACACAATCACAGTCACACAATCACAGTCACACAATCACACAGCCACACAATCACAGTCACGCAGTCACAGTCACACAATCACAGTCACACAATCACAGTCACACAATCACAGTCACACAATCAAAGTCACGCAGTCTTTGTCACACAGTCACACAGTCCTAACCACACAATCACAGTCACACAATCACATAGTCACGCAGTCACAGTCACACAATCACAACCACACAATCACAGTCACACAATCACAGTCACACAATCACACAGTCACACAATCACAGTCACACAATCACAGTCACACAATCACAGTCACACAATCAAAGTCACGCAGTCTTTGTCACACAGTCACACAGTCCTAACCACACAATCACAGTCACACAATCACATAGTCACGCAGTCACAGTCACACAATCACAGTCACACAATCACAGTCACACAGCCACACAATCACAGTCACACAATCACAGTCACACAATCACACAGCCACACAATCACAGTCACACAATCACAGTCACACAATCAAAGTCACGCAGTCTTTGTCACACAGTCACACAGTCCTAACCACACAATCACAGTCACACAATCACATAGTCACGCAGTCACAGTCACACAATCACAGTCACACAATCACAGTCACACAATCACAGTCACACAATCACAGTCACACAATCACATAGTCACGCAGTCACAGTCACACAATCACAGTCACACAATCACAGTCACAGAGTCACACAATCACAATCACAGACGCACTCTGTACTTCAAGGGGACTGCATGCTATTTATTTGGTCTAGATGGCTGATCAGAGACTACACATTGAAACAGCCTGTTTGCAAATATGACTATTTTCATTGTGGTTGTGTGTTTTGTCCTACAGGACATCATCGCAGGTAGATATGATAAGTGCACATCCTGCAGTATACCAGTGTCTTTGAAAGTGTCTCATTCTGAGGACAAACAGGTCTTAAAAAGTGCTTATTTAAGACTGCTGCTGTATTCAATTCCCATGCACATTATGTCCTATTCTCTAAATGTATTCCCCACTCTTCCATGTCCCTCCCTTCTCTACAGATCTCTCTCTCTCTTCCTCTTCTCTACAGATCTCTCTCTCTCTCTTCCTCTTCTCTACAGATCTCTCTCACTCTTCCTCTTCTCTAAAGCCTTCTCACTCTTCCTCTTCTCTACAGATCTCTTTGGCCCTCCACTCTCTTTCTACAAGTGAATCTCCTCTCTTTCTTTTCCACTGTAAAAGACATAATTCTGTATTATAGCGAAAAACTGTCAAGAATGCTATTCATCAGTTTGACACTATCACAGCTGATTGACAGTAAATAAGCCATTTGTATGTTTGTCTTTTATTCTCACTATTTTTTTGTGTGTTAAAGGACATTTTCACTCTTTGTATCTCTCTGGCTCGCATGAACACATGACAGGTAGAACTGACACAACCACATGTCGCTGCAATTCACTACGACAACTTCACACTCACACACCTTTTAAATACTGTATGAATACGTGAATTACGTAATAGCTGGCTGGATAGGATACAAACAATATAAGGGACATGTAGACATGTAGACCTATTCTAGCCAATAAGTAAATATGTACAAATGTATGTATATATATATATATATATATATATATTCATTATAATGTCACATAGAAACACACAAATGGAGCAGCAGAAGACAACCCATCTGATTATGGTGCATTATTTATATGGTTTAGAGGGCTCTATGTCTATAGGGCTGATAGGACCTGTGTATAGGACCTGTGTATAGGACCTGTGTATAGGACCTGTGTATAGGACCTGTGTATAGTACCTGTGTATAGGACCTGTGTATATAGGACCTGTGTATAGGACGTGTGTATAGGACCTGTATATAGGACCTGTGTATAGGACCTGTGTATAGGACCTGTGTATATAGGACCTGTGTATAGGACCTGTGTATATAGGACCTGTGTATAGGACCTGTGTATAGGACCTGTGTATAGGACCTGTGTATAGGACCTGTGTATAGGACCTGTGTATAGGACCTGTGTATAATGTATGGTCCTCTGATTGGACCGTTGTGATGATGCGATTTACTGGAGGCTTTATTTCACATCTCCGTTCCTCTCTTCATCATTAGCCGGCCGCCTAATGACAGATGCCGAAAAGGAGTTAAAGAGGTCAGTCCAGCACCTCCAGCCAAAATGGTGTGTGTCCGTGTGCCCACACGTTTGTCTGTGTGAACACAACTGTCTTCGCATACGCCGATTCCGACACGGTAAACCCCCCACCCCCAAACACTCTGCAAATGTACAGCCCCAACTCGTCTTCAAACGATCATCACATAGACAACCCCTACTCCAGCCCAAGAGCTCTGCACACCACACGTTCCAGCTCTTTATCAAATCACTGCATCCCAATTTATTGAACCATTACATTTTTTTCTGTGATACAATATTCTGACTGTACTTCATCGCAGACGTCACCTTAAACCAACCCTTTACTCAATCTATCCTTACTCCATCTCCCTCTTTTGTTCTTAACCAGCCAACAACACTGAGGCTTCCAGATCATGTTGATGTTCCATCAGAAATTGAAAGTAGACCCCCAGACGTGGCGGTGCGAACACCTATCGAGGCATGTGTTGGATCTGAGGGGGTGACGTAGCGCGGGGGGGTGACGTAGCGGGGGACGTAGTCTCACACGGACGGACGATGTGTCGGGAGTGTGTGTGATGCGCGCAAACAAAGATGGGCGACAAATGCCAGTCGGAGTGCATGACGCGTGTCACTGCTTAAAATAATTATGCACTTACCTGCCTGCCTGCCACCAGGTAATTATTGAAGACAACAAATTAACTCAGAACAACCCAAACATATGTCTACTGTCAAGTTTGGATGAGTGCCAATGTATGCTTGAGTGAATGTCTGGCTTACTGACTCATTTTCTGACTAACTGGTTGATTGACAGGTTTCTGGATGGATGACTGGCTGGCTGATTTGTTTTCTGACAAACTGGTTGTTTGACTGACTGGTTGACCGATTGGCTTGCTGACGGACTGTCTACCCATTCACCAATGTATTTTATATCTTTCTAACTTAATTTCTACAACAATTCCATTTCACCTGCTCTAAACCCAGGTGATTATGAATGTTATCAGAGTGGTTTCTGTCAGAATATGGTTGGCTGTACACAAACAGAAGTTCATTCACTTGTAGTGCTGAAATGTAGAGCTAGCGGATTTACGTGGCCATTAGCAAGCTACGATTACTAGCGGGGGAGATCCTCTATCCCCCTGTTTCTGCTTGGTTATTCTACCCACCCTGCCTGAGAGAGCTTTGGCATTGTCATCAATCTCTCTCTGCCCTCTCCCACTCACTCTCCGTCTCTCTCCGAAACGGACATGATTAATGTCTCTCCAGGGACAGAGGAAACAGTAACCAAGCCCCGTTCAGAGGTCACTGGTTGTGGAAAGAGGTTAGGGGTCAGTAGCCAGGGTGCTGGGGGCTGTGTTAAGTTCAAAAGTTACTTGAGGAGTGGTGCGGATGTGCAATGTGATTCTGGTAGTGACGTATTTTCCCACTGTGGCACAGGGAATATTGGCACAGGGAATATTGGTACAGGTGATATTGGTACAGGTGATATTGGCACAGGGGATATTGGCACAGGGGATATTGGCACAGTTAATATTGGCACAGGGAATATTGGCACAGGGGATATTGGCACAGGGGATATTGGCACAGGGGATATTGGCACAGGGGATATTGGCACAGGGGATATTGGCTAGGACAGGAAGGGTCCTAAGCCAGCTGACTGACATGGTCAGAGAGGGAGAAATAGAGAGCAGAGAAAATACATAAGAGAGAGAAGTATAAAGGGAGATCAGCAACACACAGACATACATACAGCAGGAAAACAAACTCAGTATGAGAAAAGCCCTGCTCACATGTTTGGTCAGACAGATACAGTACAGATTACAGAGATGAGAGACCAGAAACACACAGACATACATACAGCAGGCAAACAAACTCAGTATGAGAAAAGCCCTGCTCACATGTTTGGTCAGACAGATACAGTACAGATTACAGAGATGAGAGACCAGAAACACACAGACATACATACAGCAGGCAAACAAACTCAGTATGATGAAAGCTCCGCTCACATGTTTGGCCAGACAGATAGAAATCGGCATTGTGAGGGTTGGGGTGGGGCAAAAGAGGGTACAGATATAGTTTAAAGCATGCAGAATTCTGCCAACATATCATGAAGACATGTGCATGGTAAAACCTGAAATAATTATCTGAATAAGTACGATTCCAACTAATTCTCTTCCTAATTCTATTCCAACTAGTTCTTCTTGGAGTTGGGTTCTGTTAACAAAAAACAAAAGACCCCACAGAACCTCAGAAGAACATCCGAGTTGAAACCTTAGACTCATTGTCATGTAAGCGGACTCAATAAAAATGGTGGAAATGCAACTGCACGGCTAATGCATGACTGCATTACAGACACTTATTTACCTGTAATCACCTCAGAATAAAGCACAAATGATCTGAAAATGTTGTTTATTCTTTATTTTTTTTGCATAATAATTTTACATTGTCATTCATGCTCGTTGCTGGTAATTCTTCAGAACTTTTATTATGTATTATTGTTGCTATTATATTTATAGATTATAGAGAGTGGCAAAAAGATAAGGATAGACTGAGAAAAAGGAGAGATGGAGAGAGATTGTTGAAAGAGAGGGATTGACTGGAGATATGGGAGAGAAGGGAGAATAAAGACTAGTCAAAGTGCATGCATGCAGCACGTGTGTTCACATTGTCAAAGCATTGAAATTGAAATAACGAAATGGAAACAATCTGTATCTCACACACACACACACACACACACACACACA